GAAGAAAAGAGGAGACTAAGATGAATCCCACATCTAGGGGAGAGAAAGGAGGAAGCAGAGGCAGAAGCGGGAAGTGGGAGGGAAGCTCAGCTTTCCAGTCTGGGAGGGCAGAGCACTAGAGCAGTAGATGGAGCTTCTGAAAATGGGATGCCTGAACCTTACTCTGGCCCATCAAAGCACAATTTCTGGGAGTAGAGCTGGGTATAGGTGGTTTTTGGAAACACCCCAGATGAGTGTGATGTGCCATGAAGGTCAAGAACCACCATTTAGGAGCAGTGGTTCTCAAACTTTGGTGTGCCTCTGAACCCCCTGAAGGTCTCGGTAAATACAGGATGCTGGGCTCCACCTACAGAGTTTCCCATCTGAACAGGGCCTGTATTCATTTCCTCTGGCTGCTGTACAAATCACCGCAAACTCTGTGACTTAACCAACACAAATCTATTCTCTTACAGTTCTGGAGGTGTGAAATTAAAAATGAATTGCACTGGCTACCATCAAAGTGTTGACTGTGCCCCCTCTGGAGGCTCAGGGAGAATCTGTTTCCTAGCTTACCCCCTCTTCTAGAGGTCACCTGCACTCCTTGGCTTGTGGCCCCTTCCTCCATCTTTACAGCCAACAATTGCATCATTCCGACTTCTGCTTCCATCATCCTATCTCCTCTGTCCCCAGCTCTCTTGCCTTTCTCCTTCACTTGTAAGGACCCTTGTGATTACACCAGACCCACTCAGATCATCCCGGATGACCTCTCCCTGTCAAGATCCTTAACCTAAGCACATACACAAAATCCTTTTTGCCATGTAAAGTAACATATTCACAGGTTCCAGGGACTAGGATGTGGACATCTTTGGTGCGGGTAGGGGGTGGGGACATCATTCTGCCTCCCACAGGGCCTAAGAATTTATATTCCAAACAAGCTTACAGGTGATGCTGATGTTGCTTGTCTGGAGACCACGCTTTGAGACCCCCACTGTAGAGTCTCTGGAAGATGAGATCTAACAGCGCTGCAGCTGCCCTGGAAAGTCAGTCTCTAGGAGCAGAAATGGGGAAGGAGGATTTTAGCTAATGTTAGCTGATCTGATCTCTTCTTGCCCAGAAAATGTAGAAACAAGAGAAACAAAACCTTCAGGGTAAGAGCAGTGTTTCCTTTGGATGCCACATGTTGGGACATTCCCTTAAGGTGGGAGCGCACAGGCGTGGCCGATTTGAGTCACAGGCAGGATGGGTAGTATAACATCTTTTTCTTCAAAAGCATGGGATGCTACAAGTGGGACCCACACGAAGACAGAGTCTGTGGCTGGATGGTGGTTTGAAGACATCTCTCTGTACCTGAAAGTGCTCCAAAGGCTGCTCTCCCTGCAGACTTTGACCTGTTGGTACCTACCACCTAGAGTGTTCTCCTTCCATCTCTCTTTTCTATAACATTCTTTTTTTTTTTTTGAGACCAAGTCTCACTGTGTCACCCAGGCTGGAGTGCAGTGGTGCAATCTTGGCCCACTGAAATCTCCATCTCCTGGGTTTAAGCAATTCTCTCATCTCAGCCTCCTGAGTAGCTGAAATTACAGGTGCCTGCCACCGTGCCCAGGTAATTTTTTTTTTTTTTTTTTTTTTTTTTTTTTTATTTTTTTTTTTTAGTAGTAGAGATGGGGTTTCACCATCTTGGCCAGGCTGGTCTCAAACTCGTGATCTGCCTGCCTCGGCCTCCCAAAGTGCTAGGATTACAGGCGCGAGCCACTGCACCGGCCTTTTCTATAGCATTCTAACCTCTTCTTCCCTAATTTCCTTTTGCTTTCCCTTTTCTTCCCTTCCTGTCAGGCCCTGTCCAACCCCCACTAAAAACACTTCCTTCTGGGGCACTGCAGCGAACTTCTTCCAGGTTTTACTGGCCCTTTCTCTCCATTTCTCACTTTCTATGCCAACTGAGAATGATGCTCATTGAATTATTGTTTGTTTGTTGTTTATTTATTTGCATTATGTCTGGTTTCAGAAAGGACTTAAACTAAGATGATGGAAGAACCCAAGCTCTATGTTGGGTTTGAGTTTGAATCTGCTGAAATCACCTTTACTTTTTTTTTTTATTTAACTTGCACAGCCAGTAAAGAAAAACTCCACCAAGGAGTCAGACTTTTCTAACAGAAGAACCTATGGCTCATTTGTAACCTAAGTGAGCAAGCTTTAGTTCCTTCCATAAACATTTTCTATATTAAATGAATAATATACTTTGTTTTCGGGGCTTCCCAGGTTTGAGGACCCTGTACTTAACACTCAATAGCTGCCTCTGGAAAAACTCGGATTCATTTGCTCTGGAGACTTTTGGCTTCTTGGAAGAACCCAAAAGAAACAGAGGCTTGCAATTTAAATGAAAGCCTTTTCCCCACTTTGTCTGGTGTCTTCATTCTTTTTTTTTTTTAGACACAGTCTCACTCTGTCACCCAGGCTGGAGGGCAATGGTACAATCTCAGCTCACTGTAACCTCTGCCTCTGGGTTCAAGTGATTCTCCTACCTCAGCCTCCTGAATAGCTGGGACAACAGGTGCCTACCACCAGGCCTGGCTAATTTTTGTTGTTTTTGTTTTTGTTTTTGTTTTTGTTTGAGACAGAGTTTCGCTCTTGTTACCCAGGCTGGAGTGCAATGGCGCCATCTCGGCTCACCGCAACCTCCGCCTCCTGGGTTCAGGCAATTCTCCTGCCTCAGCCTCCTGAGTAGCTGGGATTACAGGCACACACCACCATGCCCAGCTAATTTTTGTATTTTTAGTAGAGACGGGGTTTCACCATGTTGACCAGGATGGTCTCGATCTCTTGACCTTGTGATCCACCCGCCTCGGCCTCCCAAAGTGCTGGGATTACAGGCTTGAGCCACCGCGCCCGGGTTTTTTTTTTTTTTTTTTTTTTTTTTTTTTTTTTTTTTTTTGAGAAAGACTCTCATTCTGTTGCCAGGCTGGAGCATGGGAGTGCAGTGGCACAATCTCGGCTCACTGCAACCTCCACCTCCCAGGTTCAAGCTATTCTCCTGCCTCAGCCTCCCAAGTAGCTAGGACTACAGGTATGCGCCACCACACCTGGCTAATTTTTGTATTTTTAGTAGAGACAGGGTTTTACCATGTTGGCCAGGGTGGTCTCCATCTCTTGACCTTGTGATCCGCCTGCCTTGGCCTCCCAGAGTGCTGGGATTACAGGCATTAGCCACTGCACCTGGCCTAATTTTTGTATTTATAGTAGAGATGGGATTTCACCATGTTGGCCAGGCTGGTCTCAAACTCCTGACCTCAAGTGATCTTCCCGCCTCTGCCTCCCAAAGTGCTACGGCCTGAGCCACCACACCTGGCCTTGGTGTCTCGATTCTTTATGCTCTTGAGATCCTTGGAATATATATGTTCTTCCATACCTCCCTTCCATTTCCTTCACTGAAATTCAAAGTGTTTGATATAACAGTACCCTGTAGTTTCTTTTCATTTTAACTAAGCCTAAATCAAAGTGATGTTTTTAGATTATAACTCCTATTTTCTTATAGGGATTCATAAAATGAAGCAAGATTATTTAAGTCAAAGTAAATAAGAATAAATGGGGTAAAACAAGGCTAAGGACATAAAATTGAACCAGTAATGAAGCTACTGTAAAAAGACCTGCCATGCAATTATGCATTTTTGCTGCAAATGGGAACACATTTGGTGTGAGGTTTCCTGGCAGCCAAGACCAAAAGGGAAAACTAGTTAGTTACACAGTTCATAACTGTCCATGTGGTAGGAAATTAAACTACTGCTTAGGAATTGACAGCCGAAAGACTAGAAAGACCCTGTGGAAAGCGGGAAGCCACACCCTCAAGAACATCTTTCCAATAGGTTCAAAAACGAGATTTATGAAACGTTTCTTTTGGCAGCGCACAGGAGAGTAAAACTCGCAGGGAATGCTGTGAGTCAGCTCGGGGATTCATTTCTCTCTTGTTCTGGCTTAAACCTGGGTTAATTTTAGAGTATCCAGATCATCTGGTTGACCTTAAAGGAGAGTTAGATTCCCAGAAGAAAGAAGGTCAGCCGATTAGGAAGCATCCTGATAAGTGCAAGCAACCTAAAGTCCAGCCCTATTGGCTGAACCAAATGTATTTCTGGGCTCATGTGATTTAGAAGCTCAGTGGTATTTAGAAGCATCAGACAAGACTTTACTCAGAGCCTAAATGCTCTCACCAGGGCCTGGTTTCTTTCTCTGCATTTCCCAAGACTATTTTCATGGTGTTGGCTTCATGTTCAGACAGGCTTGTTAGCTCTCAGGACAGCACACAGGGCTGTTGACACTTCACACTGTTACGTTGATACCAATAGTTAAAATGGAAACCCTTGCACTCACTCGTAAATAGCCACTGTCCCGAGCCCTCCAAGTATGGGAATATCCTGGACCTCCTCAAAACGCAACTCAAGAGTTAAAGCTCAGCATAGCAATGGGCCTAAGTCCTTCCTTCTGATGCTGACTTGTCAGATTAGTTCTGGTTAGTCAGATTTTGAAAATTATTCCTCTATTTCTTCTTTATATTGTTGTGGGAAGAGAAGGTGTTTTTCCCACCATTCTCAGTGGAAGTCCTGAGTTTCAATCTGACTGGATTACATTAGGTCACACACTCATCCCTTAACCGATCACTGTAGACTGGTAAGCACTAGTTAACCTAGGCTAGATTACATATCCTACCCTTGACCTCACTAGACCCAAGATGAGCAGCTTGTCTGCGAACAGGGAGCAGAAACAGTGGAGCAAAAACTCTTGGGTTTTATAATCAGACAGATCCAGGTTAGTTCATTTACTCATGAATTCAAAACACTGTGTGTAACTCACCAAATAAAACAGACCTAGTTCCAGCCCTAACAGAAACATTAAACCAGTATATCAGTTGTCTATTGCCATGTAGCACAGCACTCCAAAACTTAGTGACCTAAACAATGACGATTTTATGTGCTCACCATTGCATGGGTCCACAATTTGGGCTGGGCTCAGCTGGGCGATTTTTCTGGACTAATTCATGTGGCTGCAACGGGAGCTGGATGATCTAAATGGTCTCACTCTTGGGTCTGGCCGTTGATGTTGGCTGTTGGCTGAGCCAGGGGATTTCAGCAGGCTAGCGTGGGCTCTTCATTCAGCAGCAGGGTTCCAAGAGGACAAGCCCAACACACATGTGCTTTTCAAGCCTGTGATTATGAGGGCTGTACTACAGCAATCTGCCACAATCAGTAACAACCACATAAGAAAGCAATGACAAGTTATGATTACCACTGTGAGAGAGGGTTACTATTCCAAGTGGCACCTGAGCCAGCAGCATTGGCATCACCTGAGACTTATTAGAAATGCAGCATCTCAGGTTCCACTGCAGGTCTGTGAAATCAGAATCTGCAGTTTAACAAGGTCCCCAGGAGATGTGTGTGTGTGGTAAAGTTTCAGAAGCTGGTGACTGTTAGGGGGATCAAGGAGCGAAGGAGGGGAAAGAAACAGCACACCTAGTTTATGCCACTTAATGTGCTTCCCACATCCTCCCAGTTTCTGCTGTGACCTGGCTACCAGGCCAACAGGGACCTTCTCCCACTGTCCTGGGGCTCCACAGGAGGGCCCCACATTCACAGTCTCACAGTGAGGACAGCTTTGGTTCAGTGGGTATCACCCAGAGGCAAGCACCTAAAACTGGACTTCCACTGGGCTTGGCAGGGAGCTTGACCCTGAAAGGTGGGGACAAATGGGGCCCCTGTTTATGTATACACAGTTCCAGGCAGCAACAGAGGCCAAATGTGGGAGCAGCCAGTTCTGGGCTCCCTAAAGACCTCTAGGAAAGCCAGACCCTCAGGGCTGCTTGGTCCTTCAGCCCCTCACCTGGCATGGAGGGTGATGGTGAGTTCTCAGGTTCATAGTGAAAGGCTGTGAAGAGGCTTTCCTGGTGGGCAGGTGGGTGGCATTCTAGAATGCTCTGCTAGAGTGACGGTATGTCCCATTTGCACAGGGCAGTCCTGTGGGCACCTGCCATCCTGTTTTTGTAATGATTAACAAGGCCCCTTCTCATTCTGGTTTGGATCAAAAATTGAAAGGGTTACCCTAGTTAAAGGGTGAGTTTAATCTCAGAACACAGGAAGGTGCCTCTGAAAGAGCACTGGACCCTGAATCAGGAATAGGAACTCTTGTCTTGCCCTGCTGCTGACAAGCTGGGGGACCTCAGGCATATTCCTTTGTCCCTCTGGCTTCAGTTGCCTTATGTCTGAATTGAGGGGTTGGATCAGATAATCCCTGCTGGGGAGTAAATGAATGTGTTGTCCTTGGGGTTCTGCTCTGTCAGCTCCATGTTGATGAGGACCTTGTTCTCTCTCTAGCATCTTTGGTTCTGTGTCCTCTGGGGACCTCACATTCTGCTAGTTCTTCCCCAAGTCCGCAGCTTGCAGGAGCCCTGGACTAGTGTCTCTGAGGCTCTGCTTCAGGGCTCTGTGCAAGTGGGGCCCCACTGCCTGTCCGCCTGCCTACTCCCCCATACTCTGCTCCACTAGGATCCTTCTTTAGCTTGAACTTCCTAGCTGTGTCACATTTGGGACAAATAATCACCTGTGACTGTTTCTCCATCTATGGGAGATAGTGAGGTTGTTCTTGCAGGATCATGGATAATTTACATAAAGTGTCTGGCCCATCATAGGAACTCACCAAGGCATTTCCGCGCCTCATATCTTAAAGTTGACCATCTGGAGGGCTCAGCTCAAGTCTTCGATGAGTTGATAACTAAAGGAAGTGATTTCCAAGTGTGAAGGCTCTAGAAGTTTCCTCTCTGTAATACTCTGCAACACTCTGAATGTTTTTTTTTTTTTTTGAAAAATTATTTATTTATTTAGAGACAGGCTTTTGCTCTGCCACCCAGGCCGGAGTGCAGTAGTGTGATCACAGCTTACTGCAGCCTCCAACTCCTGGGCTCAAGCTGTCCTCACGCCTCAGCTTCTCAAGTAGCTGGAACTACAGGCATGTGCCACTGTGCTCAGCCAATTAAAAAAATATATTTTTTAGAGACAGACTCTCTCTACATTGCCCAGGCTGAACTCTAACTTCTGGCTTCAAGTGATCTTCCTGCCTTGGCCTCCCAAAGTGCTGGGATTACAGACACTAGTCATGAAATTAGTATTCATTCTCTAACATTTTTGTTCTTGACTGAAATTGTTTTGACTATTCTAGTTCCATTGCCTCTTTTTTTTTTTTTTCTTTTTGAGATGGAGTTTCACTCTTGTTGTCCAGGCTGGAGTGCAGTAGCGCAATCTTGGCTCACTGCAGCCTCCACCTCCCAGGTTCAAGCAATTCTCCTGCCTCAGCCTCCCAAGTAGCTGAGATTACAGGCACCTGCCACCATGCCTGGCTAATTTTTTGTATTTTTAGTAGAGACAGCATTTTGCCATGTTGGCCAGGCTGGTCTTGAACTCCTGGCTTCAGGTGACCCACCCAGCTAGGCCTCCGAAAGTGTTGGAATTACACACGTGAGCCACTGTGCCCAGCCCCATTGCCTTTTCACACAACCTTTAAAGTCACCTTGTCCACTTAAAAAAAAAAAATTCTGCTGGAATTTTCATTAGAATTGCATTGAATCTAAATCAGTGTGGGAAGAATTTATATCTTAGCAATATTGAATTTTCCAGTCTGTGAACATCGTATGCCTCTTCTTTTTAAAGGTTTTCTTAGGGTTTTTTTTTTTTGTTGTTGTTGTTTTTTGGTTTTTGGTTTTTTTTTTTTTTTGGAGTTTTACTCTTGTTGCCTAGGCTGGAGTGCAATGGCACAATCTTGGCTCACTGCAACTTCTGCCTCCCGGGTTCAAACAATTCTCCTGCCTCAGCCTCCTGAGGGCTTTTTGTATTTTTAGTAGAGATGGAGTTTCACCATGTTGGCCAGGCTGGTCTTGAACTCCTGACCTCAGGTGATCCACCTGCCTTGGCACTCCCAAAGTGCTGGAATTATAGTTTTTAGCAGACAGACCTTGCACATATTTTGCTAGATTTATACTTATGTAGTTCATGTTTTCTGGTATTACTGTAAATAACTCTGCAAACTTTTTTTCAAATTCCAATTGTTTATTGCTAACATATAGAAATATATTTTTTTAATGTTGACCCTTCCCTTTTATTGTTAATCTTCATTATGGATTAACTTTCCTCTTATCTTTCTCACACAAAGACTTTATGGCTATCACAATGTCCTAAGATGGAATGGTAAATACACTCTTTTTATCTTTTTCTCCCAAGACCAAGTCTCGCTCTGTTGCCCAGGCTGGAGTCCAACGGTGCAATCTCAGTTCACTGCAACCTCCGCCTCCCCAGGTTCAAGCAGTTCTTTGCCTCATTCTCCTGAGTAGCTGGGATTACAGGTGCCAGCTAATTTTTGTCTTTTTACTACAGATGGGATTTCACCATCTTGGCCAGGCTGGTCTCGAACTCCTGAACTCGTGATCCACTTGCCTTGGCCTCTCAAAGTGCTGGGATTACAGGCATGAGCCACTGCGCCTGGCCAATACACTCCTTTAAATTGAGTGAAGAAATAAAAATCAGCTGTAAAGAAAGGAAAACAAACTGTAGAGAGAAGAAAACAGACTACAGCTAACTCATTAATATGTTGTAACTCTTAAATCACTCTTGTATAGAAATGCTGTAATCCCATTACATTTCTGTGTTTTCTACCTGTATAAGCAAAAAACTTAACTCTTAACTTTGGAGCACTGATCCCATTTCTCTGGAGTCTTTGTCTCCTAGATGACCATTTTCATCTTCTCACTTGAATAAACTTTAAACTGGATTCGGATCCTTTTCATTCTTTCAGGTTTACAGAAAGAAGATTCAAGCTTCAGCAGTCCAGGTCAGTTGGACAAGGTGACCTTTAAGCCCACTTCTAGTTTCATGAAAACAAATCTGAAACTTGCCCGATTTCAGGAATGGTGGTGAAAACACCATGTACCCAAATGGTCTGGTGGCAGGTGTTTCCTGTGCACTCAGTGTTCTCTAAGTCCTGGGAGAAGCAGGTTGTCTAAAAGGAGACTCCAGGAAGAGGCGGGAGATGCCAGCATCCTCATGTGCTCAGCAGGGTCCTCTCATTCACCAGACAGGCAGCCCTTGTACCCCTCCACTGAGGCTAACTGCCAGGAGGGTGAGGTGTGGGTGGGTTTTATTCACTGCTCCATCCTCAGAGGCCAGCAAAATGCACGGAAGAGGAAGAAGTCTCTAGTGTTTATAGACAGACCAACACTCCCACCCTGAAAGGACACATTAAGACAGGGGGTTGGGGGAGGTAATGATTACTGGCAACAGATTGTTCAAAACAACTACATTTGGACGAGTCTATTTTCGGAAAACAATGAAAACTCAGTGTTCCTTTCAAAATGAACACTTTCTTTTTCCACTATCAATTATTTCAGTCTCAGATATGCCCCATTCTGTTTCTCCCACAATATATGACTTAATTAACAATACGGTCGATTATTTATAAGGAAGTTATTTTAAAACTGTGGTTCAAAATCGCATCTGATTTTTTTCACTTGACTTTTGTAGTATAGTTATTTTTGTTTGTTGTTGTTTTTTGAGAGAGTCTTGCTCTGTTGCCCAGGTTGGAGAGGAATGGTGCGATCTCAGCTCACTGAAACCTCCCCCTCCTGGGTTCAAGTGATTCTCCTGCTTCAGCCTCCCAAGTAGCTGGGACTATAGGCGAGTGCCACCATACCCTGCTAATTTTTTGTATTTTTAGTAGACACGGGTTTTCACCATATTGGCCAGGATGGCCTCGATCTCTTGACCTTGTGATCTGCCACCTCAGCCTCCCAAAGTGCTGGGATTACAGGTGTGAGCCACTGCACCCAGCTGTTTTTGTTTTTAATGATGTTGCCAGGGTTAACTTTTTCCGAGAGTAGTTTTTAACAGTAAAAAATGGGGCGGGGGGGGGAGAATATAATAAACGGCCAAAGAGGATAAATAAATTATGTTAACTTCATTAAGTAAAATATTTGTAGCCACTATAATGATGTGAAATTTTATTTACTGGTAAGACAAAGTTCATAAGGCATTACTGAGTGGGGAAAAATCAGTTTATAATACACTATGTATAATGTGTTTCCACTTTTTATTTTAAAACATCTTTTATATATTTAAATATTTTAATATGCAAATATATAAATACACAAAATATGTTTATAAACATTCTAGAACAATATGGAACAAAATGTTGACAGTGGTTATCTTTAGGATTTTAAGTCATTTTTGTATTCTTTGTATTTGTATAACAGGGTTTCTTTGTTTATTTTATTTTTATTTTTTTGAGATGGAGTCTCTCTCTGTTGCCCAGGCTGGAATGTGGTGGTGTAATCTCAGCTCACTGCAACCTCCACCTCCCGGGTTCAAGTGAGTCTCCTGTCTCAGCCTCCTGAGTAGCTGAGATTACAAGCACCTTCCACCACACCCAGCTAATTTTTGTATTTTTCATAGAGATGAGGGTCTCACCATGTTAACCAGGTTGGTCTTGAACTCCTGACCTGAGGTGATCCACCCGCCTTGGCCTCCCGAAGTGCTGGGATTATAGGTGTGAGCCACCATCTCCAGCCAAAAGGGTTTCTTTATAATCAGGAAAGGCAATAATACTGCCTTTGTCATCTTATGAAAAACATCAAATTAAATAAAAGCACATTTCTCTCTAAGAACACAGACCTGGGATTATAACATGAGTCAAACAGAAATGAAAAGAACTAGACAGGTTACACAGAGTCTTCTGTTGCCCAGCTCTCTTGTGGCCCTCAGAGCTATCTTCACTTGCCAGTCCGTGCCTACTACAAGCCCCCTAGCACCAAGCCCTGGTACCCGGCACCACCAGCTTGGGCTGAACCCTCTCCCGGAGCTGAACCTACATGGAGAAAAAAATGTGTAAGCAGTGAATCCCAGCTGCTGGGGAGGCTGAGGTGGTGTTGCTGTCGATAAAGCCACTGTCCCTCCAGCAGGAAGGAGACTTACACCTCCGTACAATCTCTGGACACAAGAGTTTTCCTTTCTCTTTCTTCCCTCTCTTCCTCCTTCTTTTTCCTTCCCTCACTTCCACTTCCCTTCCTTCATTTTCTCCACATCTCCCAAGCACCTGGAGGCCACAAGGGACACAGTGATGAATCACCCCAGGCCCCCTCAAGGGACCTGCAACTGCAGAGAGAAGCAGGTGAGTCCTAGAGTTCACCTCTGCATGCTCAGTGCCTCGAGGGAGGGCCTCCCGGAGGAAGTGACCTCGGCACTCAATCCTGAAGGATGAGAAGGAGTTGGTCAGGAAAGAGTGGACAGGAGCCCAATCCTCGTGGGCAAGTTGGTTGCTGCTACGGGTTCCTGACTGGCCCTTCTGTTACACAGAACCAAGCCTGCCCAGAAAACGGCTTGACGCCCTTCCTTGGCTGGGGTGAGCTCCCTGGCAGCCCAGCCCACACGGCCCTATGATGGATGGCAGCAGGGCTTGGCTGACGCTCACCCCATAAACGCAGCTGAGTCAGGGTCTGTTTCCGTGCTTGGGACTTGCTGGAGGGCCTTGCACACCTGCCCCTGCCAGGTCATGCCCAGGTCTTATTGCTTGGCAGTTCTTCCTTATTTTGAATCCAGATCCTTCCTGCTGCGGTCAATCCAGGGTCTTTTGCTTTATCCCCAAGGTATTCAAACATGAAGAAAAACTGGTCTCTTTGTTCTATAGGAGATCCACTGTGATTAGGTCCGTCCCTCCTTCATCGTTAAGCCTTTGGGCTTTAAGCAAAGATGTGAGGTCTGCTTTAAGCAGGAATGGACTTTGGGATCTTTATTGTTACTCTCATCTTGACCATGGACCTCCCTGGGCACCCAGATCGATTTGCCATGTGGGGGCCATACATGAATTGAAGACCAATCCAGAGGTTATTAGCTCATATAAAACATTGATTGTCTCTGTGGACAAATCCATTACCCTCTCCGATCTTCTCCTGGTAACAGTTTTAAAAGGTACCCCATAAGAAGATAGATCTTGGAGAGGTCAGTTTCAGGATAAGTCAACCTTGAACTTACGCATGGGAGCTGGAGACCAGGATAAGAAGATTGGAGCAAGGGTGATGAGGCTCATTAAGATCACTCAAAGAAAGGGGAACAAATAAACATCCAGGGTTGTGTAATTTAAAAATGTTTTAGTACATTCTATTTGTTGGGCACGGTGACTCACACCTGTAATCCCAGTACTTTGGGAGGCCGAGGTGGGCAGATCACTTGAGGCCAGGAGTTCGAGACCAGCCTGGCCAACATGGCAAAAACCATTGTGCTTGGCCCCCATTCATTTTTAGTGGCAAATAAAAAGATCTGCCACTTCATCAAGTACATCCTACCAGGCTTGGGGTTAGAAGTATCGTTATGCATTAGAGTCATCCCAGGAACTCCTGTTGCCCTTGTATAGGTAGGGAAACCAAGGCCCAGAGGAGTTAAGCACCTGACTAGGAAGCGGCAGGGCTGGGACTGGAGCCCTGGCCTCCTAGAGCCTCTGGGTCACTGTGCTGATCACCGAGCTGCATGGTCTCCTTTGAACATCACAGCAAAATGAAAGCTGGGCTGCGCAGACATGGAGGCACCCATTTGCAGATCAGGCCCAGAGAGGGGGTGCCTACTGACAAAATCTGTGAAACTGGGACCAGCCCCAGGAACTTCTGTGTCCTGGGCCAGTGTCTTGCCACAGCCTCAGGCTGCCTGTGGGACCAAGACCAAAGCTGTCAAGGATGCCAACAGTCATCCATCAAGAGAGATGAGTAGAGAGAAAGGTGACGGCCGTGTCAGTCTGAGCAGCATGTCTTCAAAACGGCCACACCAGCGCAGGGGACTCCGCCTCGCCTGGAAGACGGTCTGAATCACCTGTGCCTCAAAATCCACCTCCTTGCCTGCCAGCGTGGCTGCCACACCCTGCCTCTCCCCTGCTGGGGAGAGAACCATCCCGTCCCAGCCGTCAGTCAGCCCTGCCTGTCAAGGCATACACATTTTAGGAGGAAGAGGCTGGTTCCTTAGGAAAACCCCTGCCTAGCCTGATAGACATGAGCAGCAGGTTTCTTAAACTCCGGTCTCAGAAGACAAGCCAAGAATTCCACCTCTGGGTTGTCCACTAAAGCACCAAGCTGGGGTGGGGAGAGGGAGGTAGCCTGGAATCATGCGGTCAGGGGTACATGAGACAAGAAAAGCCGAAAAGCAGAGGGTGAAGGATTTACCTGTCACTTGCCCTGCAAATCCTAAATCAAAGTTCACCTCTTCCATGAAGTCCACCCTGATCACCCCAGGACCCATCAAGCTCTCCTCAGCTACATAGTAAAGTGCTCATTCTGCCTTAACCAGTGGGGCAAACTTGTACCTCCTCTTCTATAGTGCAAATCTTGGGGGGGTGGGGAAGCTTGCACAGTTATTTGGCCTGAAACGGAGCTGTGTGCAGTGGTTGCTCCATACATGTTTTAAACAGCTGAATACATTGAAAGAATCCACTCATCCATTCACTCACCTGGAAAAACAGTGGCCAACAACTGCAAGATAGGGTCTCTTCTAGGTGTCCTTGCCCTGGAACGCTGACGTTTTCTAATGTAGGAAGACACCACAGACAGATATGAGAAGGGCAGAAGGGCGAGGAAGAAACAGTGGACGAACGCATGACTTGGAGGCTGGGAAAGGGCGAGTGGGAGAGAGACCTCCACCCTCCTGCCAGCTCATCAAGCCCCTCTAGCCCCAGCCCCCTTTACCCACAAGGACAGGCATTCCACAGAGCACCTGGGCCTGGCCTGAGGCGGGCAGGCGGGCTGCTGGCCATGCCTTATGTGAGCTGGAGACAAAATATTCTGGAAGGAGGTATTTTTCCTAGGCTTCTGTAAGAGTGGCCGTTTTTTCTCCTAGGAGCAGCAGAAATAAAATGGCTGGCCGCCCAGGAGAGAAACTGAGAACCCGGCCCATACCAAGACCAAGGGCAGTCGAGGAAGCGGACAGCTGCCTGGGGTGTTCAGAAAAGGACAGTCACAGCTGGGCGCGGTGGCTCATGCCTGTAATCCTATCACTTTGGGAGGCTGAGGCGAGCAGATCACCTGAGGTCAGGAGTTCAAGACCAGCCTGGCCAACATGGTGAACCCTTATCTCTACAAAAATACAAAAATTAGCCAGGCATGATGGCGGATGCCTATAGTCCCAGCTACTCAGGAGGCTGAGGCAGGAGAATCTCTTGAACCTGGGAGGTGGAGGTTGCAGTGAGCTGAGATGATGCCAATACACTCCAGCCTGGTGACAGAGTGAGTCTCAAAAAAAGAAAAGAAGAGAAAAGAAACGGGCGGTCGCATTAAAATGCTGCGGGGAGGCATTGGGACATGTGCAGAAGAACCGATTTCCCTGCCTCCCTCCATGGGGCCTTCCTTGGCCACTCGGTGTACATTGTACTCCTGGCCCCATCTCTCCCACTTTCTTCCCCTCCACCCCGCACATATCGCCCTCCCACATGCTGTCTGCTTTGCCTGTCTCTTGTGAAACACAGCAGACAAGTCAAGTACATACTACCAGCTTGTTCGCCAACCTTCCCCACCCTTCTAGAATGCCAGCTCCATCAGGACCGGGATTGTTGCTTCATTTGTTCACTGCTGTCTCAGCACCCAGAACAGTGGCTGGCACATACTAGGTGCTCAAAGAATATTATTCATTCCTTCCTCCATCCTTCCAGAACAATCCCCAAGTGCCTCTTCTGTGCCTCACACAGACATAAATCAGATGTCACCCGTGTTTTAACAGAGTTCATGGCCCCCCTCGGGAATGAATGACTTCAGAGTGTGGTGTGCTCTCCGTCCATCTCATCCCGAAAGCTCCTGTCCTAGCCCACCTTTCAGCTTGGACCTCCAGTAACTGGGCCCGCAGAGCCTGCAGGGCTGTGTTAGCAGCTGCTGCTGTGGTCTCGCCTCCTTCTTAAATATTATGCAGGGGCACTAGGATGGCAGGACCTCACGCAGGGTCAGGCGCCATGATTGATGTGGCTGGGAGGAAGCTGGGTGTGGGAAAGAGAGGAGGATGTGGAAAGAGGAAGAGGGCATGCTGGGAGGAGAGGCTGAGGAAGCAGCAGAGGGCAAACCCCACACAGGATGAGACACAGGATGTGGCTGAGGTCATTCCAGGATCAAGGGTGGCGCCTTTCCTGGGTGACTTGGGTCCCGGCAGGGCTGCAAGAGACTGTGAAACGATGCCCTCGGCTTGTCCAACCAGAGAGAAGGCTGCATGTGCATGAGGAAAAGCAACAGAGGGGCTAGCTCCTTTCCACAGGGATGCACCTTGCCGCTACAAGAGGCTTGGGAAACGACCCATTCACACCCTTCATCTTACAGGTGAGGACGCAAGCCCAGAGAGGCTAAGAATTTACCTGAGATCACCAGCAGAGGGAGACAAAAATTGAACCCAGACCAGGCCAGGAATCCTTCCACCACCCCACACTTGCCTGCCTCAATTGCTCAAGCATGATTATCTTTCTCTGGAGAATCTCAAGTGGCACATACTTTTTAATTGTTCCAGGCGCTAGAAAAAAAATGAACAGGTACTGAGGGAACGCCACACACCAGGCACTGTGCTGGGCTCTTCACTGTGCTGTATCTCAGAGTAAGTCTCACCAGCAGGGGCAGTGGCTCACGCCTATAATCCCAGCCCTTTGGGAGGCTGAGGTGGAAGGATCACTTGAGCCCAGAAGTTTGAGACCAGCCTGGGCAATACAGCAAAACTCCGCCTCTATGAAAAATACAAAACACATTAGGTGGGCGTGGTGGCGCAGACCTGTAGTCCCAGCCACTCAGAATAAGTCTCACCAAGAGCCCAGGGGACATAACTGTCTCGACATTACAGATGACAGACTGGAGGCTCAGAGAGGTTAATGCTTGCCCAGAATCACACAGGTACTTACGAAGCAAAAGTGAAACCAGGAACTTCAGTGCCTAGCTTTCCCTCTGCCCCTCCGCTCTGCAGGAGTCACAGCACCCAGGCCCTCAGGCTGTGGAGGCTCTCACAGTTGCTCCTGCCACAGAAACGGGAATGAAGAGAAGACTTTGGACTGGGAGAGGCGCCTTGGGCCCATTCCTTGGTTGGTGGTTGCTGGGGCTCACTGGGGTCAAGAGAGACCTAGCAGCTTCCTGGAATAAACCGAAAGGAGAAATACCATAACGAGTTAAATGCTATGGTATGTTGATACACTATAAATAAATACTTTTAATACTTAAAAAAATGCAGTGTAACTGTAAACTACACTTGCCATTATAAGACAATGGCAGGATTTTTTTTTTTTTCCTGTCCCCCAGGCTGGAGTGCAGTCGTGCAATCTCAGTTCACTGCAACCTCCACCTCCTGGGTTCAAGAGATTCTTCTGCCTCAGCCTCCCGAGTAGCTGGGATTACAGGTGCACGCCACTACACCCAGCTAATTTTTGTATTTTTAGTAGACACCAGGTTTCACCATGTTGGCCAGGCTGGTCTCAAACTCCTGACCTCAAATGATTTGCCTGCCTCGGCCTCCCAAAGTGCTGGGATTACAGGTGTGAGCCACTGCGCCCAGCCGGGATTTGTTTTTGAATGTTAATTCATGATGACCTATATGGGTTTAAATGTAACCCGAGAAAAAAGCCATGTGATAACAGTGTCTCCCTTCAACCTTGTATACTCTTGGTAGTCTGAAGCCCCTCATTTGTACCTTTTAGTCTACTAAACAGGAAGGTCAAGGGCAAACGGCCTTCTCGTGCTGGCTGTGGGGATGGGGGAGTGACTGGGATTGGCTGTGGCTCCAGGTCTGTGCCACTGAAGCCTCTTCAGGGGTCCCAGTCAGCATCTCCCTCCTGAACCCTGTGCCCTGCCGGAGGAAGAAGTCCCCCAAGGAGGGCCCCCTGGGTTCCAGCACCACAGGTGTGCTAGGGGACTCTGGAGGAGGTCTGGGTTAGACTGGATGGAGGCAGTTCTTACCATGAGCATGACTCCCCAGCTCCCCTATCCTTAAAGCAAGCCTTCCACCTGCCTTCTCCCAGCCTGGGCTTCAGGAACCATGCCACCCACTGCCCTCTATCCCACAACAGTACCACTCCTGTGTGGAAACTAGATGCCCATGAGTCTTGCAGCAGCCTCCCCCATCCCAGCCCTTGTCTCCATCCCTCCACTTATTCCCATTGTCCTGTACGTAGATGTTTTTCTCCCCAGCAGTGAAAATGCATGGCTGAAGTCAAACCCTCCTTCTAGCTCCATCCAGGGGGGACGGGCAGAATGGCACAGTGGAAAGACTTTGAAATCGGACAGTCTAGGGTTTGAATCTCCAGCAAGTTCTTTAGCCAATCTGAGAACTCATGCTTTTCAACTGCAGGATGCACCTAGGATATCAGCAAAGGGACCATGTACTAAGTTTCTGCAGCTGCCTAACCCTTTGCAAGTGGTTAGTTGAGAATAAACAAATATAGCTAAGGAATCTGGCAACCACAGAAACTTAATAAATGGTCCCTATTGCTGATATTGCTCGTGCAGTGTCTGGCTGTTTCTTTGCCAAGGGAGTGGAAATATCCTGGTACCCCACACTGGCACGGTGTGGCCACACTCAACTTCCAAGCACCCCGATTAGCCTCAGGTGTTATACATGGCTTAGTAGCTTTTACAAATCTGAGATTTCAACTGGCAAAGTATTTTTAAAGCCAGCATTGGCAAGAGTGCATGGGAAAAGTCACTGACACCTGACTCATAGGGTGCATGCTTTGTTTGGTAAAATCTTTCCAGGAGAAAATCTAGAGGTATGTATCAAAACAACTCTGCCTCTAGGAATTCACAGAAAGTTGTGCAAAGACTTACATATCTGGATGTTCATGACAGCATTCTTTATAATACTAAACAAATAAAAATGACCTCATTGTTCATCACCTAACACTAGGGGATTGTCTAGAAAAAACACAGTATATCCTGCTATTAAAAGTGATGCTGTGGCTGGCTGGGTGCGGTGGCTCACACCTGTAATTCCAGCACTTTGAGAGGCTGAGGCAGAAAGGTCACAAGCCCGGAAGCTTAAGACCACCCTGGGCTACATAGGGAGACCCCACCTCTACACACACACACACAATCAAAAAATTAGCTGGGCGTGGTGGCACACGGCTGTGGTTTCAGTTACTTGGGAGGCTGAGGTGGGAGGACTGCTTGAGCCCAGGAGATCAAGAATGCAGTGAGTCATGATCAAGCCACTGCACTCCAGCCTGGGCATCAGAACGAGACCCTGTCTCAAAAAAAAAAAAAAAGTTGTAGAAGAATAATATGGGAAGATATTTACAAAATATTAAAGGAGTAAAAAAGGCTATAAGTTAATATGATCGTTTGAAACACCCCCCCGCCCCCAACCGTCCCCTGTAGCCCATCTTCAATGAGCTAAAAAAAGACTGGCATACATTCACCAAAATACAGTATTGCCTCTAGGGGGTGGAATTACAGATGGTGTTTACTTTCTTCTTTGTGTTTTTCTGTATTTTCCAAAAATCTCTATAATATCCCTGTATTTTTAAAGAAAAATTAGAAAATTAAATTTATTTTGACAATATACGGACTAAGCATAGATTTTACCTAAATATTATGGTTAACTCATGTCAAGATCACAGATTTTAACCAAAAGACAGTTCCTGATCATTAACTTGTGAAAAACTCTTAAACTGCTTTTACAATCGTTTATACATTTTTCCCATAATACCCTTGTATTTTTGAATAATTTTAGATTTACAGAAAAGTGGCAAAGACAGTTCCCATGTAGCCCTTACCCAGTTTGCCATACAGTTAACATTTTACGTAACCATGGCACACTCGTCCCAACTAAGAAACCAACCTGGGAATTTTCAGGCTTTCTTTGGATTTTACCAGTTTTCGTCTTTCTGTTCCAGGGTCAAGCCTGGTAGCACGTCGCAGAGAGCTGCCTGTCTCCCAGGGCCCTCCTTCCCAGACGTTACTTCCCAGACGTTACACATGCACTGTGTGAGTTTCATAATCAGAAAAAGAAAGGGCAGATGCTGATGACGCTGATGCTGATGCTTAGGTCTGGGAATTCTCTCATTCTGAGCTCCCTGGGAGGCAATGATCCCCTTTTCTCTGTTCAGCAGTACAAAAGAAGAAAGGCCCCAGGGTGGACGAGACACGCAGAAGTTGGGGCTCCCGGATCCCCCCACCCGCCCGGCCCGCTGCCTTATCGCCCGGCTCCTGCAGCTGTCCCCCAGCATGACTCGGGGATCTTCCGGGGCCCTCGGCTCGGGTTCCCCACCCTCCCCCCGCCCCGCCCCGCCCCGCCCCTGTCGGGCGAGTGCGCGGGCGATTCCCGGGTCCGCAGCTCAGTGCCCCACGCGGCTGCCCCGCCCCCTGCCCAGGTCTCAAAAGCCCGGCCGGGCTCCGAGCGCCCGCCCAGCCCAGCATCCCTTAGCATGGCCTGGAACACCAACCTCCGCTGGCGGCTGCCGCTCACCTGCCTGCTTCTGCAGGGGGCTATGGTGATTCTCTTCGGGGTGTTTGTGCGCTATGACTTCCAGGCCGACACCCACTGGTGGACGGGGAGGGTGCGCACGAACCTCAGCGACCAGGAGAACGAATTCTACTACCGCTACCCGAGTAAGTCTCGCCGCCCACAGGCCCCCGAGGCCTCTCTGCGCCGCTCGCCACCTGCCGCGGGCCCCCCAGCTCTCCGGCCTCTGCAGGACAGGCGGGGAACAAACTCCTTTTCCCGGTGAAAAACTAGCAGGGGCCCGGGTGCGGCGGCTCACGCCTGTCATCCCATCACTTTGGGAGGCCGAGGCGGGTGGATTGCCTGAGTTCAGGAGTTCGAGACCAGCCTGGCCAAAAAGGTGAAACCCCATCTCTACTAAAACACAAAAAAATTAGCCGGGCGTGGCAGCGCGCGCCTGTAATCCCAGCTACTCTGGAAGCTGAGACAGGAGAATCGCTTGAACCTGGGAGGTGGAGGTTGCAGTGAGCTGAGATGGCGCCACCGCACTCCAGCCTGGGTGACAGAGCGACACTCCATCTCAAAACAACAAACTAGTAGGGAAAACACCAGGGTGAGGTTTTTATTTGACCGCCCTCCCAGCCGTCAGACGCCCCCAGCATCCCTGCCAGAGAGCCCTGCTTGGTACCCTAAAAAGACCCAAGTCCTCTCACTCAATTACCAATCGGTGGGTGACCTGGCTCCTGTCCGTGGAGCCTATACTCCAAATAAGGGGGTAGGTTCCATGCTGAGGGCCACAGCGATGGCTCAGTAGCCGGCTGGCCCTGCTGCGGGCAGAGGTGTTGTGGGGACAGTGGGGGGCCAGGAGGCCAGGATACCCATCCCCTTTTGGCTTGGAGAGGGAAAACAAGCACCCCTGAATTTTCTGGTGTGGGCTGTGCTGTGGTTAAGAGCATGAACTTGTCATCACAAGCCTCTCTTTCTCTCTTGGCTCTGCTGTAAACCAGCTGGGTGGCCTCAGACAAATGTCAACCTTCCTAAACCTCAATTTCCTCCTCTAGAGAATGAGGATGATGGTAGGGCCTCCCTCACAGGGGTGAGGGTGAGGTTGTGGGACAGAGCTAGGGAAGGACCCTCACTTCATAATGGAACATTTGCTACAAGGGCCCTAAACACAGGTGCCCTAGGACTCAGGAGCAGGAAAAGCTAGCCAAGGTCACTCAGAGCTGCCTGACCTCCAGACTCCTAGCCCAGGGCTCTTCCCATGCCCTGGCACTTTCTGATTTTCCACTACATCTGCCATCAGCCGACGACAATTACTCTAGCCAATGGTGTTCATGTTGTCACTGACTGTGAGTTTTGGAAGGGACCCTAAAGGCGCTATATCAACTGGTGTTTCCTCCATGGCTTAGACACTCTTGGCAACAGGGGATTCTCTGTCTCCAAGTAAACAACTGCACATGTTCAGAATGACAGCCTGCATGAAAAAAGACTGAGTTTGCGGGGCTGCAGGCTTGATGGGAGACGGCCATATGAAGTGGCTGCCAAAATGTTAGGGCTAACATGAGCTGCGTGAATAGTTACATGGTGCCTAGAAGAAGGGAAGCAACAAACAAGGGCTGCGCCCCCTGCTGGGGAGACCACAGCCTCTCCTGAGCTCCATGTAGGGCTGTTTTAAAAGAGATCTTGACAGCTGCAGCCTTGGGATTCAGGCTTCGAATCCACCGTTCACATTGCCTGCCTTTCCTCTCCCCAGTCGGGTACCTGCCAGCAAACAGTGGGCCAGGCAAGCTTGAGGCCCTCCTTTGCCTGTTCCTCTCCCTGTCTTCCCACTCTTGTCGACCACTTGACCCCAGAGCATAAGGGACAAGGCCCCCCATGGGCATACATAGGTCCCCAGTGTGTCTGGGCAGTGGAGGACCTCAAGACCTTAAATAGGGCTAGGCGTGGTGGCTCATGCCTGTAATCCCAGCACGAGGTCAGGAGATAGAGACTACCCTGGCCAACACGGTGAAGGCTCATCTCTACTAAAATACAAAATATTAGCCAGACATGGTGGCTCGCAACGGTAGTCCCAGCTACTCAGGAGGCTGAGGCAGGAGAATCGCTTGAACCCAGGAGGGGGAGGTTGCAGTGAGCCGCATCATACCACTGCACTCTAGCCTGCTGACAGATCAAGACTCCATCTCAAAAAAAAAGAAGGAAAAAAAGAGCTTACATAGGCTGGGTGCGGTGGCTCACAGCTGTAATCCCAGCACACTTTGGGAGGCCGAGGTGGGAGGATCACTTGAGCTCAGGAGTGAAGCTACAGTGAGCTATGACAGCTCCACTGTACTCCAGCCTAGGTGACAGAGTGGATTCCTATCTCTCTTCCTTTCAAAAAAAAAAAAAAAAAAAAGAGAGATCCTGTAATAGGAGCTGCAGACCTCACCGGCTGGGAGGCACAGTCCTTACATCTCCCCAGCGCTCAACCTCCTCCCACCATTCGCCCCCCACCCCCGCATTTCACATGCCACCTTCATGTATTCATGCAACAAGCACTTATCTGTAGTGTGATCATGTAATTTATCATCCCAATGAGGACACCTCTGAGAGTGAAGGTGGTGCAGGTAGTAGTTTGCTGGGACCCAGGGAAAAGCCATATGGTCACTCTGGATAAACAAGTTGAATATCCTAGGTCTCTGTTCTCAGACTGTCTGGGAGCAGAGAAGGGCACCCTGGTACCCAGGGCCTCAGTGAGGCCAAGTGCTCTGGGTGGAAGAGATCTGTGACCATTTCCTGGGAAGTGGTGGATGGTGAGGAGGGGAGAAGCTGAGCAGCCACGGGGGCCACCAAAAGCAGGTGGTGTTTCGAGAAGGGACAGTGGTTCTGTGTGGCCCATGAGTAGGGTTTGTGAAAGGGACAGGGAAGGATGGAAGTGAGAAGAGAGCCCCAACATTAAGGGGGGCCTTGAGTTTCCCCTGCTAGTTCTCCTGGAGAGGTCTTGGCCACTGGAGCAGGAAGTGACAGAGGAGGGGGTGTAGGGGAAGAATCTTGGCAAGAGGTAGTGGCCGCCTGTCCAATCACACATGCACTCTCTCCTTTAATCACCACCACCACCTGTGAGGGAGGCGCTGTGATGACCCCCATTCTACAGATGAGGAAACTAAGGCCGGAGAGGAGCAGTCCTGGGGTCTGAGCCCCCAGTCTCTGACCACTCCCCCTAATCTGGGCAACCTTCCCCTTTCCCTGGCTCCACTCATGGTGGCTGTGGTTAGGAGTCAGAGGGCACAAGGCTTCCTGCCCACGTGGGTCACCAAGCCGAGTTCCTGGGCAGCGAAGTGATTCCTGAGGGATTAGGGTAAGGGCAGGCCCCGAGGTGCCTTCCCTGTTCCTGGCTCCAGGCCGTCAGCAGCTGTGCAGGCCTCGTTTCTACCCAGGGGATTGGTGAAGGCTGCTGGCCATCTCCAGTTTCTGGAGGAGCCCAGGTCCAACTGGCTTGGCCTGATTGTAGCTCCCCAGGCATGGGTCCCACAGCAGGCAGCAGGCACGGAGCCAGCCAGGGACTCACCCTGGCAGTGTCCTCGGAGGCCTGAGATGCGGCGGTGGCTATGGCCGCTGAGCACGTGGCTTCCCTGTGGGCTGGGGCTCCAGGGCCTGGGTGAACTGCTGAGGGCAGTGGCTTCAGGGAGGCTGGTCCAAGTAGGAGCCGCCAGGGCCTGGATTTCAGGAGCTGACCCAGGAAGGAGGTAGCTCTGGCTTCAAACACCTGAAGGACTGTGTCATGAGGCCGCAGCAGGCTCGCTTTGATAAAGGACGTGCTCACCCACAGGCAGAAGGCCATGGAACTTCAGAATTCAACAGATCCGTGTAGGTGCACCACTGCATGGAGGAGCCAACCACCTCACCACTGTGAGCCTTAGAGTGCCCATCTTAGGGTACAAATGTTATTTATAGTACAGGATCGGTTGGGCGTGGTGGCTGACACCTGCAATCCCAGCACTTTGGGAGGCCAAGGCGGGTGGATGACCTGAGGTTGGGAGTTTGAGACCAGCTTGACCAATGTGGAGAAACTTCATCTCTACTTAAAAATATACAAAATTAGCCGGGCGTGGTGGCAAATGCCTGTAATCCCAGCTACCCGGGAGGCTGAGGCAGGAGAATTACTTGAACCCGGGAGGCGGAGGTTGCAGTGAGCCAGGATTGCGCCATTGCACTCCAGCCTGGGCAATAAGAGTGAAACTCGTCTCAAAAAAAAAAAAAAAAAAAGTACAGGATATCTAAGAAGATCCAAGATGACAGGTGACTGGTGGGCACACATCTCCTGGCATAAAGGAGAGGATAGTAAATGCAGGTATTGGGCTTCCCAGAAGGGAGCAAGCGCTCCTTCCATGAGGGTGTGTAAGTATCAGCACCTTGTTAGAGACGTGGTGGAGAAATGTCGCCCTGAATACGAGTTGGAACTATTACAGCATTTAAATTCTTTTGTGCACTTCCTAATCACAAAATGCTTTTTGCCTGTCCTATCAGGTGGGGCATTTATAATTTCCATTTTATGACGGGGGTAATGAATGTTCAAGAGGAGCTGGACACTCTCAGGCAGCCGGTGACACACGCAGGGTCAGAGCCAAGCCCCGTGCCCCAGGGCCTACCTGCTTTCCAGGGTCTTCTGTGGCACCGCTGCCCCCGACCATCTGCCCAGGAGGTGTTGCAGTGTGGATGTGGAAGAGGTGGGCGCGGAGTCTTGGGGGAAGTGGGGAACTGGCCAGTAGGTCTCAAAGAAAATAGGCTAGGCTGGGAATGGGATGGGGAGGGGGTCGCACCTAGCCCCTGGAGGATGCCATCCTTCCAGTGCTGATGCACAGAGGGGAGGCCTGCAGAGCGGGGGGAGGCCTGCAGAGGGGAGGGAGGCCTGCAGAGGGGAGGGAGGCCTGCAGAGGGGAGGGAGGCCTGCAGAGGGGAGGCCTGCAGAGGGGAGGGAGGCCTGCAGAGGGGAGGGAGGCCAGCAGAGCGGGGGGAGGCCTGCAGAGGGGAGGGAGGCCTGCAGAGGGGAGGGAGGCCTGCAGAGGGGAGGCCTGCAGAAGGGAGGGAGGCCAGCAGAAGGGAGGAGGCCTGCAGAGCGGGGGGAGGCCTGCAGAGGGGAGGGAGGCCTGCAGAGGGGAGGGAGGCCAGCAGAGCGGGGGGAGGC